CTCCCACTGGAACCTTCGGTGGACAACGGTGGAACTCCCTATGGGGCCACGAATTGTGTGAGGGGTGTGCCGAATTGGGCGCGGTGGTGCCATGCGAACTTTCCCACTGACGCTTTCGGTGGAGCTATTTATAAGGCCACGAAACGTGTGAGGGGTGTGCCGAAATGATGGACATGCGGACGGCAGAGCCACGGATGGGGCGAAGGAGAGAGGACGGAGGAACGCGGGGCGCTGTTTCTTCAAAACGAAGACCCAACACCACAGGACGGTTTGGGAATAGTAACGCCGTAGCACCCCGCAGACGCGGATAAGAGTGAGGGGGCGGTGGGGACGTCGGCAGTTGGCGAGACTCTGGAGAAGCCCGCCGCAGGCGCCAAAGCTTCGCACATTATACAACGAGCCCGCCGCACGCGCTGATTTTCTGGTTGAACCAATGTGGATAGGTCGCGGGTAGGTCGCGGGTGTACGGGGCAGAAAATCCACCCCGTAATCACCACCCCGACAAGCGAAGCCGCTTAGGAAACGCACGCAAATAATTAATCGAACAGGGCAGGGCTGTTCAATCAACGCCCGAGGCCGTTTACGTTTATAACCACGTCAATTATCGGGTCCGGGTGATTTTTTCCTCCCCTGAGGGTGGGTCGTGGGGTGGGTCGCGGGTGGGTCGCGGGGTGGGTCGCGGGTGGGTCGCGGATGGGTCGCGGGGTGGGTCGCGGGGTGGGTCGCGGGGTGGATCGCGGGGTGGGTCGCGGGTGGGTTGCGGGTGGGTCCTGGGTTGGGGTTGCGGGTGGGTCGCGGGGTGGGTCGCGGGGTGGATCGCGCGGTGGGTCGCGGGGTGGGTCGCGGGTGAAACGACGACGACAACAACAACAACAACAACCAACAACAACAACAACAACAACAACAACAACAACAACAACAACAACTACGACGGCGACAACGACGACGACGACGACGACAACAGCAACGCACGCAACCACAACAACACCTACTGCAACAACAGCAACATCAACAACCACAACCACAACAACAACACCCGCAACCACAAGAACAACAACGCAGCGCGCCTAATTCTGACTACGCGTTCCATATTCACCCACGCACCCAGGGACAATGAATGACCATTCGGCCCCCGTCACTCTGACAACTACAAATGCGATGAAAGTCGTGAATCATATTGCCCTGTAGCGCCCCTCGCAGGGGTAGCAACCAATTGGGTGCAGTTTACTCCGTGGAGCGCCGTGTTGTCTCCTCCTCCACTCGTCCCTGAGGCTCTCGGAAGTTCCCACAAGGCTCGCAGGTGGTCAGAAAAATGCCACGAACATCGAAGACAAAGTTATTCGAGGTTTCGTGTTCGACTCCGTTTCCAGAGCCCCCACGTGGTGTCTGTTCATCGTGTCGGCGCCCTTGTTGTCGTGAAATTGTCCTCGGAGGGCCTCCCTGTGACGCTCCCGAAAGAGGGGAGGAAGGAGGATGGAGGAGGGAAGGAGGAGGGAGGAGGGAGGAGGACGGATGGGGAGGAGGCGGATCTCGCGCACGGCGCTATCGTAGCCATCGAGGCGACGGATGGGGTAGGAGGAGGAGGAAGAGGAGGAGGCGGAGGAGGAGGAGGAGAAAGAGGAGGAGAAGGAGGAGGAAGAGGGGGAGGAAGGATTTGAAGCAGGACGGATGAGGAGAAGCATGACGACGACGAGCAGGAGGAGAGGGAATGACGCCCGTCCTGGAGCCTCTTGGTGTCGCCTTGGCTCTCCTAGAGCGTGCTGGGGATCCTGTGGCCTGTTTGGGCTCTTCGGGGCCTCTTGGGGCCTCTTGGAGCCTCCTGGGCCCTCTGGAGCTCCCTGAGTGTAATTCAAAGTGGGTCCTCCGGGGGGCTCTCGAGATCTCGTGGGCTCTCCCGGGGCCGCCATGGGCCCTCCTGGAGCCTCCGTGGGCCCTCTCAGAGCCCTCTCGCGGGGGCGGAATGATGAAAACAATTTCACGCATGGGGGCCTTTTCTAGGCACTCCCGAGGCCGCCATGGGCCCTCCTGGAGCCTCTGGGGGCCTCCGAGAAGCCTCTCGCGGGGGCTGAAAGTTGACGACAGTTTCACGGATGGGAGCCTTTCCGTTGAGAAGGGAAGCGCGGTGAAAGGTAATAAGGTGACGATAGTGTCGCACTTGAGGCCCCAAATCGTCCTTGGGCACCTCGGGCGCGAATCCCCCCCCCCCTTAGTACGGTGCGACTTCCCCTCCCCCCAGTGTCCCGCCGGACCCCGGGAGGGTGATTTTTGTGGTTTTCGCTTGTAAGAAACACTTCCCCCCCCCCTCTCGACGGTGACGGAGGGCAGGCGGCGGGGGTGGGCGGGTTGGCGGGGTGGCGGGTTGGCTGGGGTTGCGGGGTGGCTGGTTGGGCTGGTTGAGCCAGTTGAGTTGCTTGGGTGGCTGGTTGGGCTGGCTAGGGCAATTGGTTTCGACTAGTGACTAGATTAAGACTAACAAAACGAATTACAATACTAAGAATAATAGCCAGACGGACATCTAACACCAGTATACATAGAAATAGAAACCAATCGGGGGGAGGGGAAATCGCAAAAATCACAAAACATCACAAAAACCAGACGGACGAAAACCACAAAAATCACCCTCCCGGGGTCCGGCGGGACAGCGGGGGGAGGGGAAATCGCACCGTACTATGGGGGAGGGGGGTTCGCGCCCGAGGTGCCCAAGGACGATTTGGGGCCTCAAGTGCGACACTGTCGCCACCTTATTACCTTTCACCGCGCTCCCCTTCTCAACGGAAAGGCTCCCATCCGTGAAACTGTCGTCAACTTTCAGCCCCCGCGAGAGGCTTCTTAGAGGCCCCCAGAGGCTCCAGGAGGGCCCATGGCGGCCTCGGGAGTGCCTAGGAGATCTCCGGAGGGCTCCAGGAGGACCCACTCTGTACCGCGCCCCCTTTCTCAACGGAAAGGCCCCCATGCGTGAAATTGTTTTCATCATTCCGCCCCCGCGAGAGGGCTCTGAGAGGGCCCACGGAGGCTCCAGAAGGGCCCATGGCGGCCCCGGGAGAGCCCACGAGATCTCAAGAGCCCTCTGGAGGACCCACTTTGAATTACACTCAGGGGGCTCCAGAGGGCCCAGGAGGCTCCAAGAGGCCCCAAGAGGCCCCGAAGAGCCCAAACAGGCCACAGGACCCCGAGCACGCTCTAGGAGAGCCAAGGCGACACCAAGAGGCTCCAGGACGGGCGTCATTCCCTCTCCTCCTCCTGCTCGTCGTCGTCATGCTTCTCCTCATCCGTCCTGCTTCAAATCCTTCCTCCCCCTCTTCCTCCTCCTTCTCCTCCTCTTTCTCCTCCTCCTCCTCATCCTCCGCCTCCTCCTCTTCCTCCTCCTCCGCCTCCTCCTCCTACCTCATCCATAACCTCGATGGCTCCGAGAGCGCCGTGCGCGAGATCCGCCTCCTCCCCATCCGTCCTCTTCCTCCTCCCTCCTCCTTCCCTCCCCCCTCCTCCCTCCTCCCCTCTCTCGGGAGCATCACAAAGAGGCCATCTGAGGACAATTTCACGACAACAAGGGCACCGACACGATAAACAGACACCACGTCGGGGCTCTGGGAACGAAATCGAAGACGAAACCTCGAATAACTTAGCCTTCGATGTTCGGGGCATTTTTCTGACAACCTGCGAGCCTTGTGGAAAGTTCCGAGAGCCTCAGGGGTGGACGTCTGGCGCAAGAACGCGAGTGGAAGAGGAGACAACACGACGCTCCACGGAGCAAACTGCACCCAATTGGTTTCTACCCCCGTGAGGGGCGTTACAGGGTAATGATATGAATGCGAATAAAATCAATGATAAGAACGATGATGGAAATAATAATACGAATAACAATGCGAATGATAATAATAACACTACGGAGAAGAGGAGCAGACGCAAATCACCCGTTCCATCGAAGGCTAGGCGCGAGGCCCTCACTCGCAGCGCCCCTCATGTTTGCTGGCTTCGTGCCTGGTCGCACACGAAAGAACCCTCTTGCTCGCACGAGCCTTGAACTGCCGCTGGCCGCTCCAAGTCAGGATCCGCTCAGCGTATTCCTTCCGACGGCTCCCCGGCATCGTTCTGACCACTTAGCTTTCCAAGCTGCGCCCAGCCGTGGCGACGATATGCCTCCAAGGCCTCCCCCCCCCCCCAAAATGCTGGAGGGGGACCCCGGTTGCTGCCCGAGGTCCGAGCCAGCGGGCAGACCCGCGCAGCGTGGCGCCATGCCGCGCAGTGCCGCCGTGCCAGGTGCCACCAGGAGGCTGCCGGGAGGTGCCTGGCGCGTTTGAGCATCGTCGAACCGATCCCCCATCCCCACCGACGCGTGGCCTGGGCCCCGCTGCCCGACTTCGTCACCCAGATGGGGACATGGGCTGTTCCCTTCGGGTTTCGAAGGGCCTATATCCCCAACTGGGGTGGTGGGGATGGTGGGGCTGAGCTGCGACGGCCCAGTGGGGGCGGGAGTAAGTTCAACGATACCGAGCGTTCGTGGTGCGAGCGGGCAATGCAGCGCTGGCCACACCGCGCCGGGGGCCTCCGGGAGGCGGCCAACGCGAGGTCAGTGGGAGAATGGAATGCACGGCGGCGCCGCACTGGCCCGCCGCTCTGCTGCCAGAGAGGGGTGCGACCCTGCGGCGCAGCGGCGCTCTAAGATCTGCTGTGCTTGGGGGTGGCAGCTCTGCCATGTTACGGTGCTGCCCCGCACAGGGACTGCTTCAGCGCACTGCTGCTGCTGCTGCTTCTTCTGAAAGGTCCTGAGGCAAAGCGGTGCGAGAGCGCTACACTGCTGCAGTGCTGTAGTGCTAGCTGCTAGCGTGCTGCTCGAGTTGACCCCGCGCTGCAAACCTTCAAAGCTAGGGCCAATGCGGCTGAAAATTCCGTGTAGGGCTGCCCCGCGGCGATGTCCATACCAATGAGGCAGGCGGGGGGGGCACGCTGCGAGGCGTCTTGGATCAGCCCTGTACAAAGCCCGATGCGATTGCCCCAGCGTCCCCAGAGCGTATGATATCTCGCCCTCGTCGCGGAACTGCATGGTGTCCGTGCCCCAAGTGCCCGTCGGGTCTTTGTACTTGTCCCGATTGATAACCTGCGCGTGGGCAAGCACACTGCCTACCCTGAGATCCGACGTCGCGAAAAAAACAAATCACAAACAATCACGGCCAGACCCCCGGGCCCCATCTTTCTGCGTCATGGGCGGAAGCACCCACAGCCCGCATGCCCCGAGTCGCAGAGGAGAGGGCTAGAAACCCAGACCCCTGCGCACTGTGAAAACGTCACTCCGGGAGACTTTTCCATATGTTCGGCCTCTGGGGGTCCCTACTGGGCCTCGGGACCATCAAAGAACGACACAGGATGAAAGACCGGTCCCGGGAATGGGTCTAGACCTGTGGGGATCGCTCGCTCGCTCCCTCGGAGTCGTAGGCTGCGGGCAGCCCACGGACGTGCGCGGCAGCAAGCAGATCGGCGCGTATGCGTGCCCGCTGAGAAATGCTGAATCTAATATCACGCGCAAGTTGCTTCGAAGGAAAGCAAAGACAGAGGAAGGCAAGGAAGGCAAGGGGAAGGGGGAGACGAGGGAGACCTGTGGGGGCCGACGTCATGAAACAACTCATGGCGTCGGAGGTCTGGGAATGCGGAGGCGACGGCTGGGCAAGGGACCATATCCACGAGCGGTGTGCTGCCTAAGGTGGGGCCAGTGCGACGAGGCAGAAGCCTGGGCAGAGAGAGGGGGAGAGAGGGAGAGAGAGAGAGAGAGAGAGAGAGAGAGAGCGAGGAGACGGATGCGGAAGATTGGAAGGAGCGGGGGGGCTGAGTGTGACAGAGAGGCAAAGGGAGAGGGAGAGGGAGAGCGAGCGACACGGTCCTTCTATGTGCGGGACAGATCCCATATGATTGAAGGAGGAGAAAGAGAGAGAGAGAGAGGGAAAGAACGAGAGAGAGAGAGAGAGCGAGCGAGAGGGAGGAGAGGAAGAGGGACGTGGAGGACTGTGGCTGTGGATCATGTGGGCGCAAGGTGAACGATGTTGCTGCGCGCTGCGAGGTGACTCACGACTTTCCCTCGACTCGCAGAACGCAGCTGTTGGTATTGAAGCGGCGCCCATTCGTGCCTGGAAGGTGGCAAGAGAACAGGGGACACCAATGTTGACATACCAATGGCACCAACATCAATAAACCAACTCAAGCACGGAACCCTGACCAAATCAAACGCTGACGCTGATGCTGCTTCTGCTCACGTGATCGTCCCGCGCCTCCTCGGCCAACTCCTTCCTCTCCTGCTCGGCCTTTTCTGTTTATTGTTTATGTTGTTCCTCCCTCTCTCTCGCGCCCAATACGCATTGGCATCAATCCTAAATACGTCGTCGTCGTCGTCGTCGCCGTTGCCGTCTCCGCTCCTTTTCGTTTTCCCGGGCTCTCCGCCTCAACCGGCAACCACAAGGAAATGGAGGAAGGTCGTAGTCTAGTCGGGGAAGTCCCGCATGCAGGGACGGCGGCACCCACCGCAAGGCCTTCCCAAGATAGAATGCTCCCCCCTGTTTGAACACAAGCTTGAAATCTTCAATGTCTACATATGGTCCGGGGCTGGGCGTGGCCATGCCAAGATGACAATTTGGGCAATGCCGACAGGACTGAATCAGTGTAAACCTTGACCATGGTTTTGATGCCATCTTCTTTTCTCGAGAAGCGCGGATGGATGCAGAGAGAGGCCCAGAACCCTCCAGGAACGATTCTGGCGGAGTATCACATTTCCACAACGAGAGGATGTCAGCGTAAGGCGATGTGGGTACTTCCTTGAAGGGGAGTTTCTTTGGGGGACTGGGGACTTGTCTTGGGTCGCCTCGGGGCCGTCCCTGAGCCGCCGGATCGGGACAATTTGGGATCTCGACGGCCGGCGGGCTGGGACAATTTCCCAAACAAGTGCCTGCACTTAGCTCTCCACTCGACAGGTTGGGCTTGTGAGGTTTGAAGGATAGAGCTCCCGACAAGCCTCGCATGCCCTGCGTGCCGCGGGCCGCGGTCCAGGTGGTCTCGGTGCTCCCTAGCTATCCCGCTTCGCGTCTTCGACGAATGACGGCTGCATGCTGCGGCCGCCAGGCCACGAGGGGCCCGGTGCTCCCTGCGTATCCAGCCTCGCGGTCACGGGTGGGGACCGACCGAAGCAGCTTGTGCTGCTCGGTTTGCGCGCGTCCGCCTTCTGGTTGGGCTCTTGGGAATGACGTCGAAAAAAAGGCATGCGGCGGCATCGGAAGCAGGGGGAATAGAGACAGCACTGGGCGAATTGCTCGGTGGATGAGGCACCTCGCTGCGGATCCTCGCGAAGTACCCTTGCATCTTGGTCTCCACAGCACTCAGCACCTGGCAGGCCCTTTACCCCTTCAGCACGTGTCCCGAGCCCCAGTTCCTGGCTCGCCCCCCGAAACCTTCGTCCTCCTCCTCCTCCGCCGCCTCCTCCAACTCCCCCACCCCCTGTCGATACGATGAGAAATCTTGATATCCGCCACCGTGCCTCTGGGCACGGAGTGGGCGTGTGCTCAGGTCCTTTGCCTAGCCGCCTGAACCTCAACCCTCAAGCCTCAATCCTCAAGCCTCGACCCTCACTCCTGAGGAGTCTTCTTCGGGGCCTGGAGCCCAAATTGCCAAATCTACCGGGGCTTGCCGCGTCGCGTTGGGGATCCAATGCGTCTCCCCGCATGAGTTTTTGCAGCCCAAGAGGGCTCAAAGACGGGCCAAGAGAGCCCAACGAGACCCCCAAGATGGTCCAAGAGGGCCTCGAGACGCCGCCCAAGATGGCCCCAAGATGGCCCAAGAGGACTCCAAGACGCCACAACATGCCTCCAAGAGGCTTCCGAAGAAGGCCCCCAAAGGCCAACACCTTAGATGTTCCTTGGGTTTCGAAGGTTTGTTTTTGCATGTTCGCCTTTTCGGCTTTCCGACGCTCCAACAAAAGGTCCAAGAGGCCCCAAACATTGCCCCCAGAAGACCTAAGAGGCCCCCAGGAGACCCCCTAAGACGGCCCAGGATAGCCCCAAGACAGCACAAGAGGCGCCCAAGACAGCCCAAGAGGGCCCAAAGACGGCCCCAAGAGAGGGCCCAGATGGGGCACCCGAACAGACGTTTCGAGCCCTCGGTGCCGAGGGGCCGCTAGGAGGCCCCAAGAGGCCCCCAAGAGGCCCTGAAAGCCCCCTACCAGGCCCGCCCACAAGAGGCCCCCAGCAGGCTCCCAAGAGGACCCCCCACTTTGCTTTTCCTCGGCGCGCGCCCACGGCAAAAAAACGCCTGTCTTGAGTAATCTTTCGCCGTCTGAAGCAGAACGAAAGGAACGGCTGCGGCGGCACCAGTGGATTACCCTACGGGGTCAACGCCTCCCAAGAGGCCCTCAAGGGCGCTCCGAAGAGACCCGAAGAAGCATCCCTGCGAACTCTGACCCACTACCCAGGCTCAGAGGCGGGATGGGCCGAAGGCCATTAGAAAAGAACTCTGGAAGCACGGATCTCTTCGACGAGTTTTGAGCGTCCTTGGGGCTGCGCGGGGCGAGACTGGCCGCAGGCTGCCATGCGAACGTTCTCCGAAATCGGCCCCCAAGACCTTTCCAGGGGTGCCTTCCGACCAGAGCTTCGAGGCGGATCCCGCCGTGTCGACGAGAAGCCGCCCAGAAGGCCCAAGAAGGGCAGAGAGCGTCCAAAAGCATCGTCGCATCGTCGCAGTATCGCCGTCGTCGTCGTCGTCGTCGTCGTCGTCGTCGTCGTCGTCGTCGTCGTCGTCGTCGTCGTCGTCGTCGATCGGCGACGAGGTTAGCGATACTCATGCGTAAGTTGCAATGCGCGAGGCTGGCGTGATAAGACCAGGGGGGTATTTACTCCTTCGGTTTTAGGAACGATTTGTGCGACGCGGCGACGACGATATCCTCAAGGGACCTCGATGCCCTGGCCGACGAGGCCGAATGGGCCCTCGCCTTGCCACGCTGAGGGGGGCCGCGGCCGACGCGCCGCCAGCCGTGCACGACGCTGCAGCGAGCAGAACGCCCCCGACAAATACCCTCTGGCCTGGCCTTCTAGTTCCGGCCAGTAGATAGACAAGCGCGTTCCACTACTTGCAAAGTAACTACTCGCAAATGGCCTGGATCCGCCGCGTGGGATGTACGATCCATTATACAGAGGAAGACTTGCATTTTTGGACGTTTGCGAGCAGGCACTTTGCTAGTAGTGGAACGCGCTCGGTGAGTAAAGCATCAGACCGCTTCAGAACCCCTCGAAACCTCGCAAAACACCCCGAACCCTCTCGCCCTCCTCACACCTCCCCCGCTCATCCTCACCCTCCCTCTCCCTCCCGCTCCGCTCTCCTCCCTCTTCATCCTCCTCGTCCTGCCCCTCTCCCTCTACCACCTCCTCCGCTTCTAGAAGTCTTTGGTGCCTCTTCTCGTCCTCCTCCTCCTCCTCCTCCTCCTCCTCCTCCTTCTCCTTCTCCTCCTCTTCCTTCTCCTCCTCCTCCTGCTCCTCCTCCTCGTCCTCCTCATCATCAGATCATCAGCACCATCAGCACCATCAGCACCATCACAATCAGCATCATCAGCATCATCATCATCAGCACCAGTATCAGCATCAGCATCAGCATCAGCATCATCATCATCATCATCAGCATCATCGTCAGCATCCTCATCAGCATCATCATCAACATCATCATCATCCTGCCTTCTTCTTTCCTCCATTCCCCCACCTCTTCCTCCTCATCCTAGTTTGGATCAGTCACAAGCCCGATCGAGCAAAGCAGAGAGCAACAATATCAGAGGCAAACGCGATCCTCCTCCGCACCCTCGCCCTCCCCGTTCTCCCCCCGACCACGGCCCGTCCCTGCCGTGCATGATATCACGTCGGTTCCGGGCACGGCGTAGACCTTTCGAGGTCGAGCGACTTCCGCCATCTATCCGACAGCGGAGGCCGCCCAGTCCATCTGGGACGCCCGCCCCTGCGCCGCCGCTTCGCCGACGCGACCCGCCCAGACCTGCCGCACATATCCTCCTCCCATGTTTCCCTCCCTACTCCTCCCCTCCTCCTCCTCCTCCTCCTCCTCCTCCTCCTCCTCTCCTCCTCCTCCTGCTCCCCCTCCTCCTCCTCCTCCTCCTCCTCCTCCTCCTCCTCCTCCTCCTCCTCCTCCTCCTCCCTCCATAGCCATTTCGGCTCAAGTCATTTTGGCTCAAGCTGTCTCGAGTCCCCCATGGCGCGGCGGGCGGTGCGAGCATGGTGGCTGCCTGAAGCACCCCCGCGGGGAAAGCCTGGAAGCCGGCGGCGGCGCGACGGTGCTCGACGAGGTTGCGGTCCGGAGGCTGCTGACCAGCGGTTCGCAACGCAGCAGTGGGAACTGCCAATCCGCTGGAGGCGCGGCTTGATCTTGCCGAGTCCGCCCTGACGGCCATGGTGGGCGATGCTGTGCTCGCGGGCCGCATTGCGACAGTCGTCCCAGTGCTGCAGCACCTGGCCGCTGGTCGGGTGCCGCTTCGGCTGGATCGGCTCGGGTGTAATGTCGCGCTTCACGCCCGCGCGCGTGCCCTGGAAAGACGGATCTGCACGGCGTCGCCGTCGGAGCTCCGCGCGGCCGCCAAGGGGCAGCGACTGGGCGGGGAGAGAGACGTGGACATCTCGGTCGAGCTTTGCGTCGCGGAGCACGTGGCGTTCGAGGCTGGACGTCGCGGCGCTGCGGCGCCAACGGTTGCGACTGCCTCGCAGCGAGAGGCCCCGTTGGCTCGGTCTTGCGCTTGAGCCCACTAAACTCTGCACGGACAAATGGGGGACCTCCACGTGCTTCTGGAGATGCCGCGCCGCTCTTCGTCTGCGTGCTTGTGATCATGCGCGAGGGGCTTAATTATTTATAGTACTCAATTTTTTTTCGTCTTCGGCAATTGTTTCTTCTTCTTACTCATAATATTATTAATGTTATTAGTTTGCTTATTCTTGCTGCTCGGTTTCGTGCAGTCAGCCGCGGAAGCAGGATAGCGGTCCTCAGGACCCCCTCGGTGGACATGGTGGCATCCTCGCGGTAGGGGCTGGGAGGCAACCGCCCGACTCGCTGGAGTTGGAGACGTGGGGCCTCGATGAGGATCGAGATCAGAGGATGTCCGACGACGCGTTCGAGACCGTGGGCGACATCGCTGGCGACTCGGGGACGGGCGCGGCATGTCTCACTGTTGTGGGAAAGTCGGGAAGGGCCCGTGGGGCCAGGACCCAGGTGGTGGGAGTAGTGGACCGCACGGATTGCGGGGCCCAAGTGGTGGGTGGAGCGGCCACAACCTCGCGCCCTGCCGCTGAGGTGGGTGACGCGAAGCGCGTGCCATCCCCCACGTCGGGAAGGGCCCAGGTGGTAGGAGGAGTGGCCGCGGTCCAGGTGGCTCGGCGCTGCGGGCGTCCAGGCCCAGCCCGGCGGCGGCCCCCTTACGCCCCCTCCCCAGTAGTGCCCCTGTTGGGGGACCACTGCCCTGGAGAGGGAGGCAGCGGCGGCGGGGGAGACGCAGGCGGCGGCACGGGAAAAGGTGCATGTGGAGGAGCTGGCGGAGGCGCAGGAGAAACATCGGCATAGAGCTGGAGCCCGTGGCGCTGGCGCAGGCGGCGGGCGAGACGGCGAACGTGGCGGAAGTCGTTCGGGCGGCGCCGTCGATTGGTCGAACCGCTGCGGCTGCTGTTCTACATGGCGAACCACCCGTCGACAGCGTGCGCCAGGCGTCGGCGGGCGTGAGCTCACAAGACCCCCCCCCCAAGCGTTGTGCCGCATCGCCGACAGTCGGCGGCGCATGGGCAGACCCGCTGGGGCTGCTGGTTGCTGATGGCATGTGCAGTACGGCGAGCGCTGCTGGTTGCAGATGGCGCCCTTCTGGCTCAGCGGGACGTCCAGGTTCGGCAGAATGGCAATCCAATCGAGGCATCGTCAGATGTCATGGCAGAGCTGGGCTGGGTCACAGAGGGACGAGGGCTGCCACCTTTGCCATCTTCGTTTTCGCAGCTCGGTTTCAATGATCGCAGCTGTAAGCACCAGCAACATGCCGCAAGCGACAGGGCATTCGAAATGTTCGTTTGGCATTTTTTGAAGGCCACTGCCGATTACGTCAGTTGTCGTGGGGCTTTTCTGTAGTGGCTTCTTTCACTGTGAACGGGTGGAACCCACAGTCTGTCTTGCTGCGTATGCGCTTGTCTTCTCAATCTTATTCCGATCACCACTATGAGGCGTTGCGATCCTGCCCGTTCTGAAATCAAGTGGAACTTTTGGCATTGGAACGATGTGGAGGAAAACGGGCAGCTTAAATTGGTATGGAATCCCCATCATCTCGGTGCTGGAAGAGTTCAGGGTGGAGGCATAGCATTTGATAGTACCACTCTCGTGATGGCGGTAATCCTTGTAATCCTTTCCCCTCGCGTTGCTACTCCTCAGGGCTTCTGTGCTGCGGTTGAGGGAGGCTGTGCGCCGCGGAATACTAAATACTCTTCCTCCTCCTCCTCCTCTTCCTCCTTCCTTCCTTCCTTCCGCCCGGCTTGACGCGGCCAGCAATGTCGGGACCGCGCGCCCGGCCGGGCCGCCCGGCGCGGGCACCTACCCGCAGGCGGGCCCCCTAGCGCCCGGCCTGCGTGTCCCTCCCCGCGGCCGAAGGTCTGGAGGGTGACGCCCGACGCGTTGCGGGAGGCGCCCGCCCTCCATTCCGCCAGGGAGGGGTCCACCCGTCGGCCCCTCCAGCATGGGAACTGGTGGAGTGCCGCGCGGGCGGGGACCCCCGGCGGCCCCGCACTGCGCCGAGTGCCGTCCGGGAGTAAAATTTGTCCCTAGGTGTGTTTCCCCCCCCGGCGCCCCCCCCAGCGCGAGGCCGGCGGGGTGCCGCGCGGGAGTGGCCCCTGGCAGCCCCGCTGGGGACGGATTGCTGCGCGGTGGGCAGAACGCGATATTGGAAGGCCGGGCTGGCTGCTGCGTGGGCGGGGTCTCCTCCTCCTCTTCGGGGGGCAAGCCAGCGGCCAGACCCCTCGCGCCAGCCTACTCCCACCCTTTACCCCATCCTGCCCGTCCTCCCCTCCCTTCCCTTCCCCTCCACAGCTACACCTTATGATTACTACCCTCCTCCTCTCCCCAGACTCAGTGCGGAAGATAGTTGGCCCTCTCCGCGTGGTCTCTCAGACACAGAACTTTGAACGTTGATGTTTCTGAATGGCCTTTTGCAATCCGATTGTTGTCGGTGCTTCAAATTGGTGCTCCCGCTGTAGCGTGGGCCTCATTCTCGGGTCGGCGATTTGCCCCGTCGTTCGAAATGGCGCTCGCGCCCCAGCGTGAGCCACATCTCTGGATCCGAATCATTTTTCATCGCTGTCGCCCCCCTAATTTCCCCGCCTCCGCCTTCCCCTGATCCTCCTCGCTCCTTCCACTCCAGTTCCTGCTGCTGCTGATGTTCGTCCTCGTCCTCCTGCTTGCACATCCTCATCCTGGTCCTCCTGCTCATCCTGCTGCTGTCCCGCAATCTCCTCCGCCTCTTCCCCCCCCCCCACATGCACGCAGCTCCCCCTTTTTCCGATTGCGCAAAACACGATTGGGTTGTTCTTGCAGTTCAAAGTCGGCTGTGACACGCGTCCGCGAATACGGACAATTGCATGCCAATGTCAAGGGATGGGAGGGAGAGATAGGATGTCAGATGAGGCGAGAGCGCACCTAGCTTGCCTTTCCCCCCCTCCCCTTCCTCCTCCAATTAAGGCTGTGGCTGCGGAGGGTGTCTATCGATCCTGATGCGACGCCCTCTTTGACTCTTCTTCTGGCCATCGCCAGGAGGAGGCAAAGAACTAAGAAGGAACGATCCACCGACGGGGACCATCTCCTGTTCGTCTTGACTTCTTTGGTGCGGGACTCCAGAAGTCTCGACCCTTTCCCCACGGCCAGCACGGTCCTGGGGCCCAACGAGGGCCCCCCAAAGCCGAAAACAACCAAACGCCTCCCGTCGTGATTATTTTTGCCTCCTCTCCTCTTGCGCCAGCGCCGGCCTCCCCGGCCTCCCCGGCCTCGTGCGTTGCAAATTATGCATGAGTATCGCAAACCTCGTCGCAGATCGTCGACGACGACGACGACGAGCACGACGACGACGACGAGCACGACGACGACGAGCACGACTACGACGACGGCGACGACCACGATGCCGACGGCACCGACGGCGGCGGCGGCGGCGACGACGGCCGCGACGGCCCGGGACGAGCCTTCAGCTCGGAGCCGCGCCTCCCGCGCACGGTGCCGAAGATCGCGAGCCGCTGCGCCCGGGACAGGTCCACGTCGATGAAGACCATCAGCGTGCCCCACTCCTTGGGGCGCACGGGCAGCGAACGCATCGGTCGGCGACACGCATAGAAGAAGAGCAGACGCCCTAACACGCAAACTTTTGGCGCTCCGCGCGGGTTTCTCGGACCCGCGCTAGACCCCCCTCCCTGGCGCCAGGGGCGGCGCTGGAGGCGCCGCCAAGGGGGGCCCCAGCGCGGATCCAAGAAGTCCGCGCGGAGCGCCGAGAGTTTATGCTTATGGCGTTTTTTCTTCTTCGAACGTGATCGTGACCCTGGGCAAGAGTTTTGGTGCGCCGCTTGCCGGCCGTTGCGCGCGGTGCGAGAGCAGGGGCCTGCGCAGCTTGGGCTTGGCCCCGCAGCGCCCCCCACCCGAAAGCCGCGTACCAAGAGGTCACTCTGGCGAAAGGTCACTCTACGTTGGCGGCGAGTGAGGGGGGGAAGTCAGCAGAAGGAGAAGGCCTTCTCAGAAGGCTCGAAAGTCCCCTGGCCTTCTGTGAAGTTTTTAAAGCCTTCCCCGAAGACAGAGATAACTTCTCAGAAGGCGCGAGGGCTTTTGAGAAATCCCGCCACCTTCTGAGAAGGCCTTCTCGTTCTTACTTCCCCCTCGCTCGCCGCCGACTACGTGCAACCGAACGTATCCATATCCGCAAGCCCCTTGGGGTCACGGCGTGTGAGATGCCTCCCCCTCCCCTAACCCCTCCCCGGGAGCCCGGTCCGGCCGGTTTGGAGGGGGGGGGGGGGGGCAAAGGTGTCAGCCGCACCCTTGGAGCCTCAGGGGGCCCCACAACTGACCAAGAGGGCCCCAAAAGGCCCCCGGACGGTCCAAGAGGGCTACGAGTCGCCGAAAGATCGCTCCAAGACGCCCAAGATCGCTTCCAGACGGTCCAGAGGCCCCCACGCCCCAATAAGCCACCAAGAGGCGTCCCCAGAGGCCCTCCAGAAGCAAAAATCGTCCCATTCCCGAGGGAAAACGTATATCTTTAGCAAATCCGCCTCTTGGGCTTTCACGAGGCCCACAACGGCCCTGGACGCCTTTAAGATCGACCCAAGATAGCCCAAGAGGCCCTCAAGAGGGCTCCAAGACGGCCCAAGAGGGCCCCAAGACTGCCCCAGAAGCTTCCAAAACGACCCAAGAGGGCCCCAGAACGGCCCCAAGAGGAGACCCAGAGGGGGAACCCGAATGAACATTTCGAGCACTCGGCCCGGAGAAAACCTGAGGAGGCGCCAATCGGCCCCCACGAGGCTCCCACAAGGCCCACGAGAGGCCCAAAAGAGGCTCCTCGAGGCCTCAAAACGGCTCCGAAGAGGCTTCAAAAGTGCTGCCAGGAGAGGAGAGCCTACAGAAGCCCAAGAGCAGATCGGCGATCCGCCAACCGCCCCCGACGAAGTCCCAAGAAGCTGAATGCCCAAGATCCCCCAGAAATCGTTCCGCAAACTCCGTTTTTCCCCATATCCTAAGATGGGGTTCTTGTTATTCCCCATCTCCTAAGATGGGGTTCTTGTTATTACTTGGACGCCTCCTCCTCCTCCTCCTTCTCCTTCCCCTCCCCTCTCCTCCTCATACCCAGACTTACTCATACACAGACTGGCTCACACTCAGGCTTACTCATACCCAGACTTCCTCACACACAAACTTACTCTTACTCAGATCTACTCCTACTCAGACCTACTCCTACTCAGACTTACTCATGGTGAGACTCACGCACGCCCCGTTCGCGGCCGTTTTGTGGGGATGCCTCAAGCTCAAGCGGTTTGCTTGCTTTCTGTCCCAACATCCTTGGCTACCAGAGCAGATTGTGAGGATGTCTCAGGCGGGGCGCTGGTTTCAGTTCCCCCTGAAGGGAGCCGCCAGGGGTTATCTCACGGTCCCGTTCGCGGCGGCTTGGTGGGGATGTCTCAAGCGGTTTGCTTGCTTTCTGTGCCAACATCCTTCGCTTTCGGAGCAGATTTGGAGGATGTCTCGAGCGAGGCGCTCAGTTTCACCCACCTCAGGGGAGCCGCCAGGGGTTATCTCACAATCCCGTTCGCGGCCGTTTTGTGGGGATGTCTCAAGCGGTTTGTCTTCTTTCTGTCCCAACATCCTTCGCTTTCGGGGCAGATTTGGAGGATGTCTCGAGCGAGGCGCTCTTTTTCACCCCCCTAAGGGAGGCCGCCAGGGGTTATCTCACGGTCCCGTTCGCGGCTGTTTGTGGGGATGTCTCGAGCGGTTTGCGTGGTTTCTGTCCTAGCATCCTTTGCTTTCGGAGCAGATTTGGTGGATGTCTCAAGCGAGGCGCTCATTTTCACCCCCCTAAGGGGAGCCGCCAGGAGTTATCTCACGGTTCCGTTCGCGGCCGTTTTGTGGGGATGTCTCAAACGGTTTGCCTGTTTTCTTTTGTCCCAGCATCATTCGCTTTCGGAGCAGATTTGGAGGATGTCTCGAGCGGGGCGCTCAGTTTCACCCCCCAGGTGGGCCAGATTTTGAAGATGTCTCGATCGGTGGCCAGACTCGTGGGCACAGATTCTCCTCAGGATGCCACAGGAGGCTCCAACATGCTCCAGGAGGCCCCAGGAGACCACATGAGGTCCCAGGAGGCAATCAGGAGGTTACAGAAAGACTCACGAGGCCACAGGATGTCCCAAGAGGCTCTAGGAAGCCCCAAGAAGCTCCGGGAGGCCTCAGGAACCCACAGGAGGCCCCAGGAGGCCAGAGGAAGCGCCAGGAGGTCTCAGAAGGCAGCAGGAGGCCCCGAGAGGCCCCAGGAGCAGGAGGCCTCAGAAGGCACCAGGAGTGGCTCCAATCCCATGTGTTTTACGTATGCTCCTATAGATTGGGCCTCACCTGGAGCACGAACCCTTGATGTTATACGTATGTTTCTGTATATTGTCCTTGTCATGTGTACTTATGTTCCTGTAGGGCCTCTCCTGGGGCACGAGTCCTTGGTGTTTTACGTGTGCTCCTAAATATTGCCCCCTTCTCCTGTGGCTCCAATCCGCAATGTTTTATTACGTCTGTTGCTATAGATTGGGCCTCTCCTGGGGCACGAATCCTCCCGAGGAGTTCCCAGGAGGCCCCAGGAGGCCCCAAGAGGCTCCTGGAGGCCCCAGGAAACCCCAGTAGGTTTCAGGAGGCCCCAGGAGGACCCAGGCTCATGAGGAGAGACGCGCTCGTACTACTGAGGCTCATTCACACTCCAATTCATTCTGAATTAGATTCATGACCAGACCGTCACAACTGAAACCCGTTTATATTCGAAAGCTCTTGCGCCTAGACATTCACGGCGGACAGGCCCATGCGAATAGATGCACATATGGGGAGCTCCACGCAGTGAATAATTTCTTGGACGCCGCCGACTTCTCCTCCTTCCCCTTCTCCTCCCCTCCTCCTCATACCCAGACTTACTCATACACAGACTGACTCACGCTCAGACTTACTCATACCCAGACTTACTCACACACAAAATTACTCATACTCAAACCTACTCATACTCAGACCTACTCCTACCCAGACTTACTCACTCTGAGACCCACGCACGGTCTCGTTCGCGGCCGGTTTGTGGGGATGCCTCAGACGGTTTGCTTGTTTTCTGTGCCAACGTCCTTCGCTTTCGGAGCAGAGTTGGAGGATGTCTCGAGCGAGGCGCTCATTTTCACCCCCCTGAGGGGAGCCGCCAGGGGTTATCTCACGGTCCCGTTCGCGGCCGTTTTGTGGGGATGTCTCCAGCGGTTTGCCTGCTTTCTGTGCCAGCATCCTTCGCTTTCGGAGCAGAGTTGGAGGATGTCTCGAGCGAGGCGCTCATTTTCACGTCCCTAGGGGGAGCCGCCAGGGGTTATCTCACGGTCCCGTTCGCGGCCGTTTTGTGGGGATGTCTCAAACGGTTTGCCTGTTTTCTGTGCCAACATCCTTCGCTTTCAGAGCAGATTTGGTGGATGTCTCGAGCGAGGCGCTCATTTTCACTCCCCAGGTGGGCCAGAATTTGAAGATGTCTCGATCGGTGGCCAGACTCGTGGGCACAGATCCTCCTCAGGATGCCACAGGAGGCTCCAACAGGCTCCAGGATGCCCCAGGAGGCATCAGAAGGCCACAGAAAGACTCAAGAGGCCACAGGATGTCCCAAGAGGCTCTGGGAGGCCCCAGGAAGCTCCGGGAGGCCTCAGGAAGCCACAGGGGGCCCCAGGAGGCCAGAAGAAGCGCCAGGAAGCCTCGGAAGGCAACAGGAGGCCCCGAGAGGCCCCAGGAGCAGGAGGCCTCAGAAGGCAACAGGAGTGGCTCCAATCCCATGTGTTTTACGTATGCTCCTATAGATTGGGCCTCACCTGGAGCACGAATCCTTGATGTTATACGTATGTTTCAATAGATTGTCCTTCTCCTGTGTACTCATGTTCCTATAGGGCCTCTCCTGGGGCACGAGTCCTTGGTGTTTTACGTGTGTTCCTATGGATTGCCCCCTTCTCATGTGGCTCCAATCCGCAATGTTTTATGTACGTCTGTTGCTATAGATTGGGCCTCTCCTGGGGCACGAATCCTCCCTAGGAGGTCCCAGGAGGCCCCAGGAGCTTAGTGGGCCCTGGAAACGACAGGGCCGTTTTTTTACCGGTTCCGTTTTGCCGTTTGTTTGCCGGTTCCGACGCCGTTTTTTTACCGATTCCGTCGCCGTTGTTTGACCGGTTCCGGCTCCAACTCCGATCCTGGAGCCGTTTTTTTGCTGTTTCCGGTCGCCGTTTTTTTTTGCCGTTTCCATTTTCAATGGGCATTTTGCTGGAAACGGTGAAAAAACGGCCCTGCCGTCTCCGGGGCCCACAAAGCCCAGGAGGCCCCAAGAGGCTCATGGAGGCCCCAGGAAGCCCAGTAGGTTTCAGGAGGCCCCAGGAGGCCCCAGGCTCATGCGCAGAGACGCGCTCGTACTACTGAGGCTCATTCATACTCCAATTCATTCTCAATTAGATTCATGACCAGGCCGTCACAACTGAAGCCCGTTTATATTCGAAAGCTCTTGCGCCTAGACATTCACGGCGGACAGGTCCATGCGAATAGATGCACATATGGGGAGCTCCACGCAGTGAATAATTCACTCTTACTGCCGCCCCAAGGGGTCGGCGGTGCGGCGTCAGCCAATGAATCAACGACTTCGTGGTCTAGATCTGGGGTGCGGTCCCGTGGATATGCGGTCGCACGGACGCGCTCCGCGCGGGGCAACCGCGAAAACACGCCCCGCATCCACTGGGCATCGCTGCCCAGCGGCCCAGCCGGCGAGGCCGAGGCGTATCTTTTGAGGGGGAACGTCTGCGGCCGCAGCGGGGGTCTAGCTTGGGGGGAACCTCGTGGAGCTGGAGCTGGAATCGGCGATACATCGCCGACAGATCGGCAATAGGCCCCGACAGCGGAACCGCACGGTCCTGGGCGGCTATCGGGCCCCCATCGGCAATCAATGTGCGATTGGGGGCCGACGCGATCCCGCTGAGCCTATCCCCCCCGAACGATTCCCCTGACTTCTTCTTCTTCTTCTTTTTTTTCTTCTGCAGGGTTGCCGCTTCGGCCATGCGGGCCTCGCGGACCCCTCTCGGCGGACTGGGAACGACTACGAGGAAATGTGTGACAACACGGTGGGCCTCTGGTGGCTCAACACTCTCGGCCTGAGCACGCCCGCAGGAGGAGGATGAGGAGGAGGAGGAGGAGGAGTAGGAGGGGGAGGAGGAGGTGGAGGAGG